CCGCCCTGATGATCGCCAGCATCCGGAACGACGAGGTGGCGCTGCACGCGCTCCTGGACGCCGGATGCGATCCGAACGTGGAGGTGCCGCCCGCCGGGAGCGCCGGCCATCCGGCCATCCAGCCGGACACGCAACACTGGACGGCCCTGAGCTTCGCCGCCAGCAGGGCCAACTACGTGGCCCTGAGGATCCTCCTGGAGAGGGGCGGCAAGGTCGAGGGCGGGGCCCGGAGCAGCGAGGAGAAGTGCACCCTGACCCCGCTGCAGCTGGCTGCGGGTACGGGCAACCTGGAGATCGTGGCCCTGCTGCTGGCCCACGGGGCCAATGCCTTCTTGTCCACGCAGCAGAAGGACTCACTGTGCTTCGCCGGATCCGCGCAGAAGGGCTGCTTTTGCGCCATCTCCGTGGCGGCTGCCCACGGACATCGGTCGTGCCTGCGCAAACTGCTCACCCATCCCGTTTCCCCGGGCACCAGGGACGTGCTCTCGCTGGAGGAGATGCTGGCCGAGGGCGATGTGGCCGGAGTGCGGGCTGGAGGCGGATCCGGAGGAGGCGTTGGCCCAAGCAGTGCCAGTAACAGCGGAAACAGCGAAGACTTGCTACCGCTGCTCAACAAGACGCAGATCAAACGACTCCAGGAGGCCATGTACCACAGTGCCGAAAACAATCATCTGGGTAAGTGTAGTTTAAAAGGCTGTAGCCTTAAAACAAACTACTGGTTTAAATTCATATCTAAAAAAAACAATATATCAAAATATGGTTCAATTCCCTTGGAACTCCTAAGTCGTATTTAATCATTAAAAAATTTGAATTAAGGTTTCCGGCTTCTATGAAATAAACAGGAAGTCACCGACCTTCTGCTACCCGTTATTCAACTAAACAATATAAAAATAAATATGCGCCCAGAAAATAATTTGAGTTCGGCATATTAAATTACATTATTTAATATTAAAAATAATAAAATAATATTAAAAAACAAGAAAGAAAGCAAACTTCGGCAAGCCGAAGTTCATATACCCTTGCAGCTATTGCAAGAATTAAACATTTTTGAAAACATTAAAATTATAATTTACTTGCGTATAAGTTTAAAAACATTGAAGCTATGATGATTTGCAGCTCAATTATTTGATAGTTATTTTATATATTTGTTCCTATATTGTTCCTATGGGAGCTATATGATATAGTCGTCCGACTTTGATGAAACTTAAACCGTAAATTGGAAATATTTAACCATTACTAAATGTCGAAGAACTAAACAAAAAATTAAAAAACAGAAAAGTTATAATTTTTTTTCATTTATTTTTCCGATTGTTTCTATGGGAGCTATATGCTATAGTCGTCCGATTTTGATGAAATTTTTACCATAATTCTGAAATATTTAACCATTGCTTTATGTCGAAGAACAAAACAAAAAATTAAAAAACAGCAAAGTTATAATTTTTTTTTCAATTATTTTTCCGATTGTTCCTATGGGAGCTATATGCTATAGTCGTCCGATTTTGATGAAATTTAAACCATAATTCTGAAATATTTAACCATTGCTATATGTCGAAGAACTAAACAAAAAATTAAAAAACAGCAAAGTTATAATTTTTTTTCATTTATTTTTCTGATTGTTCCTATGGGAGCTATATGCTATAGTCGTCCGATCCGGCTCGTTCCGACTTATATACTACCTGCAATAGAAAGACAACTTTTGGGAAAGTTTCATGCAGATAGCTTTGAAACTGAGAGACTAGTTTGCATATAAACGGACGGACAGACGGACAGACGGACAGACGGACAGACGGACGGACAGACGGACGGACAGACGGACATGGCTAAATCGACTCGCCTAGTGATGCTGATCAAGAATATATATACTTTATAGGGTCGGAGATGTCTCCTTCACTGCGTTGCAAACTTCTGACTGAAATTATAATACCCTCTGCAAGGGTATAAATATGGTGTAAATTTAAACTTAATTTTCAGATATTTAAATCAAATCCGAAAAAAATCAAATTAAATTTAATAAATTTTTCATATTTAAAATAAGAAAAACCGCCATGGATGAAAAACAAATGGAAAATATTTAAATTGAATACAAAATATTTGAATAAACTACTTTTTTTTACCAATGTAGATCCTGCGGGTTAAATCACAAATCTATATATCCTATAGCTCCTCAGAAAGACAGACGGACATGGCTAGATCGATACGGATATTGATCCTGATCAAGAATATATATATAGTTTATAGGGTCCTTTTGCCTGTTACATACTTTTCAAAAAATGAAACATACCCTTTTTCTCTACGAGTAACGGGTATAATAAATAACTTAAATTATAACACTCTCCACAGAAGAGCAATGCAAACAAGTACAAAACAATTTGCCTATAATATGTAAATATATTTTGGTAAAAAGATAATCAAAACCGAAAAGTAATTTGCACGACCATTTGCAATTCAAATTAAACACACAGCAATGACCGATTGAGTGATTCAAGTTGAATTTAATGATCTTCTAATTCATTTGATCGGTTTAAGAATGTCTTAAAATTAGTCAAAATATAATTTAAAACCAGATATGTACGTTGGCGAACTGTTGTGGGAGTTTTGTTTACGCGAACTGCACATTTATTTGGATGCTGCAAAAAGATTTGTTGTTCAACAAAGTAAAACAATTTTTGTGTATTCGGATACAGATATAACCATTGAGCTTCGGAAATTGGGTGTTCCGTGGACTTTGCACTGCTGGATGCACGCTCTATCGGCTGCCCACGATTTGCGACTGGACGCGGTTATAGATCAGTTGCTCCAGGACTTCCTCCAGGTGTGTCCCGACGATTACAGTGCCCAGTTCGTCAGCGAGTGCCTACCCCTGCTGTTCAACATATTCCGGAACAAGAACGAGGGCACCACCCTCCTGCTCGCGGACATCTTCGCCACCTGCTTCGGGTGGGAGACCCTTCCCCCGGTGAAGGAACAGCCGCCGATGCAGCCCGTCCAGGGATCTCGCATCGATCCCAAGTTCGTAAACAATCCGGAACTGAGCGATGTGACCTTCAGGTGAGTGTTGCCGCCTTTTCCGATACCTAAAGAGTCCATTTATGGCTTTACATTAGAAATAAGGTTTAGATTGGTAATGATTAGTAATTAGAATTAAGAATAATAATAAATATATTGCTAGTCTAGCCTTCTTACCCCTCTTTTCCTTTGATAAATGCATTTCCGAAACTTAAACAACCCAGATCCACTAAATGATCACTTATTTAAATTATGATTAAAGCAAATTGGTAACAACAGTTTTTCCGGTAGATACACTTATACAAAAAATGGGATAGTTAAAATAATTATCTGACTATTGAATTTAAAATTGTATATTTAATATAAAAAATTTAATATGAAATTAGAATACTAAGTTTAATGCATATCACATTATATGATTTAATATTACACATTTGAATTAATGTGGAAAATCTTAGATTTAAAATAGTTGAGTTAAATATGTTTCAAATTTAAATGAATTTTCAGAAATTTAAATCAAATCCGAAAATAGTTAAATTAATAATTAAACAATTATAATATTTAAAATTACTAAATTTATATCACTATTTAAATTACTCCAGTTATAACCGAAATTAATACTGGGTGTTATTCTTGAGTAATATATTTATATGTTATACAAAACAGCTTTACCGCAACTAAACGTTTTGGAATAAATTATTTAAACAATAAAAATTGGGCAAAGAAAGACAAACTGATTGCTTACTTAACCTGATTTACCTTGCGTTACAACTATTAATATTGTGCCAGTTAAAAATGTATTACTTACGCAAATGTGATTTTCAGGGTGGAGGGCAAGATCTTCTACGGACACAAGATCGTCCTGGTGACGGCATCGCCGCGCTTCCAGAGCATGCTGAGCTCGAAACTGAGCGAGGCCAGCTCCACGCCCACGGTCCAGATCAACGACATCCGCTACCACATCTTCCAGCTGGTGATGCAGTTCCTCTACTGCGGCGGCTGCAGCTCCTTGGACGTGGCCCACGGCGATGTGCTCGAGCTGATGGCCGCGGCCAGTTTCTTCCAGCTGGAGGGACTGCTGCGCTACACGGAGGCACGGTGCTCGGAAATGGTGGACGTGGACAACGTGGTGGCCATGTACATTCACGCCAAGGTGGGACTGCGAGTTGTGTGTTTACTGTCTGGTGGATATCCTTAATGGCTTTCGTTTTTCAGGTATACAATGCCAATCGCCTGCTGGAGTACTGCCAGTGCTTCCTGCTCCAGAACATGGTGGCCCTGCTCACCTACGACGACTCCGTGAAGCGGCTGCTCTTCGCCAAGAAGATACCCAACCACGATGTGCTCGCCGGATTGCTGCAGACGCTCCAGAACCGCTTGAAGACCCGCAAGCCCAACTCGGGCGGTGGCCTGGTCAACTCCTATCGATCGCCCCCGGCCACGCCCGTCAAAAAGTGAAGGAGCCACGCCCACTTCCTCGACAGAATCGAATTCTTATTTATTGCATTGTTTTTTAATTTAATCTTTGAGCTTTTATGTATTATAATAATTCCCCTGCCCGATCCCAACGCCCCACTCCTCATCTCTAGTTGTATTTTTGTACTTTCAATTTGTTCAGCGCACTGTTAACCTTTACGAACCCAAGGATGGCCGATCCGGCTGTCCTCTAGCTATTATTTTGTAGTTGAAATTGTTTCTGCATTAAATGAAGAAAGTAAAATTTAACAAGCTGTGTTTTCACTTCAAAGGCAGAAGCGAGATTCTGCGTGATCTTGGCTTCATATTTAATTGAAACGTCTACAATTTGGCCACCCTTTTCATGGGTAATTATTCCATTCCCATTTTTGTTCTCTACTTTCCAGCAACTTAATTTTATTTATAGAACACATATATATTTACGAACAAAGTCTGCACAGATTGAACCGTTAAATAATGCCAAAAGCAACACTGTTACATCCACAACCTGTTGTCCTATAATCATAATACCACCAAAATTAAGTTCCATTGTTGTCAATTAAATTGTTGTTTATTAAACCTTAGGGGGCTTAACATAGTCAAGATCTGGCTGCAACACCAGCTCGCTAACCTGTTTGGCGGCTAGAGAAATCTGGGGCAGGATGGCGCCGCCCTCGGGCACAAATCCATGATCATCCGCCTTGTAGGTGACGGTCACCTCCTTTCCGTTCGCATCGAAGTAGGAGTAGGAGCCGCTGATCTCGAGGTACTCGTTCTCAGTGCCCTGGTTCCTGACCACCGCCTCCTCCCTCCGGTGGGTGCCATCCTCGCCGAGGTAGGAGAAGTTGTAGGAGCCATCCTCGTGCTTCTCGTGGGATGACTCCAGAATGGCCACCGGTGGCTGGGTGGTGGAGGTCACATGGTCCACCGGAGCACTCAATACGACGGCCAGGCAAAGAGCCAAAGAGATGATGACCTGTCAACATGATTTGGGTATGGGGTAATCCTTGGACTAGTCATCTCCCGATGCTGCGATACTCACAATCTTGAACATGCTGCTGTCTGGATGGGAAGCTGACTTTGATTTGACTCTGAGTCAGCGAAGACAGCTCTTTATATTGCCAAAAATGAAATGGAATCGGAGTGGCTGGTCGCCTTGTTTACCGGTTATCGGACAATATCCAGACACTTACTTACATACACACAATATGTACATTGCGCATTCGCGGGTATTTACTTGAAACCCGTTCTAAGAATTAATTAAAGAGCAAGCTTCTTACCCAGGCCCATCTTCCATCTCCCATTGCAATTTCGAATCTCGGCCTGCAATTTGTGATTCTTAATTTATGTCCAGGGTCTTATTGCTCATCTCCAGCATCGCAACATTTTAAGAAGTAAGAAACGAAATTTATTCTAAATGTTTTGAAACTGGAACAAGCGTTCTATATTCTGGATTACCATTTTACCACGCATTTTTTGTTAAGATCAGTTTTTAATTGTCTAAGGGAATAAAAATGTATTAAAGTTTTCGGTCAGTAGTACCGATTTTTCTATATAACTTCCAAAACATTAAAAATTTGGCAATAAAACCTTAAGAAAGTGTGTAAAGTTAAGATCAGTCTTTCCACTTAATTAATTATTTACCTAAGAAGTTTGAATTATTTGAAAAACTGGCACAAACTATTTAGGAAGTTATTCCTGAAATAAAACATGCCTTCCTATGAACTTTATGCCTTTTTCTCCGTCTTCAGTTTGTTTTTTATAAGTGATATTTTCTTTTATGTTGACTATTAAAAGGATTGATGTGGTTGACCTGGCCACAATTCTTTACGCTCTTTCGTTCGATTTCAGCAGCAAGTAGCATTGGTTCTCTACTTTTTGGGCAGTTTCCAGATTCGATTTTTCTCGAACGTGAACATGGCAGGAAAATCGGTTTTTCCGTTCGCAATTGTTTACACGAAAACTATAAACAAAGCAAACACACGGCGTCCGTCGCCGCGTTTGCCCTCATTGATGTTATTTTTGGCCACTGGGCATGAGGCAGCACTAAACTCTCCATCCTCTCCAGCCGTCCATATTATATGCGTTCCACATAGCAGCCGGTCAGATGAAGATGTTGGGGGCCAATGGGATGGGAATGGGAATGGGGATAGGGATCGGGATGTGGGGTGGGCGGAATAATCGCAGGCAGGGGCGAAGTACTTAAAGGTGCCACATACGCATCGTTCGATTTGGATGCGGTCGGATTCTTGGCATTTTGTTTATGCAACAATAAATTTTACATTTAATTTTCGTTTCATTTGAAATGCTACAGCAATGCCGAAGAATGCCCCGATTTGGATCTGAATTGGATCTGCTCGTGGCGGGAGAAGCAATTTGTTAAATTTCACGTACCGGGGAATCTGGCAAATATTGTTCATATTTATATTTCTTTCTTGGTCCGTGATATAATTCAATATTAATTGGAATTGGAAAATCAGTTTATATTCTGAGCAATTGAAAAATTTAAATCAAAATTTGCTTGTTTCTTGATTTGAAAATTTTCGTGTGAAACTAGAGGAGCAAGTATTTCATGACTTGGAAATTTTAGGGAATTACTCATTGGGTGTTGGCTTTTTTCATTTCGCTTTTTCTAATATAGGTTTTTCCAAAACCCTTTATTTTTCTATATGATAAAATAAGGGCACTAAATTAGCTTTGCTTAATTTATCAAAGTATATATAAAGGTAACTAAGTATTTTTAACCTTAAACTTTTACCAAATTTTAGACTTTTTATTTTAATGATGATCAATGCAATGTTGAAACGCTTGACTTTGTTTAGCCAGTAAAAATATGTCCTCAAAAAACATTCACAATTAAGACAATGGAAACATACTTACATGGATGTCAATAGCTTGATTGGGTGCAAATTGCTGGTCAAACTCTTAGTAAATACGCCTTTTTCCCTTTCCTGTCGTTTTTGAAATGAAACGCCAGTAAGCGGAAAAAGACAAATCGACTAGAATTTATGTATACACTTTTAGTCCGTCGGACACATAGCGATCCGAACACATGGCACCGTGATGAGATTGGTTCTTGTGTTTTTGCTTGTTTAGAAATTGAATTAATTTAATTTGGTTCGATTGATTTATGGACCAATCTGTGCGCTGCTCTGGAAAACTGTGCCAAGAGGCGGCTGCTGCTGATCAGCGCTGCTGTCTAATGATCGAGCGTCTATATGCACGGGCCATTCGAAAATAGTTTTATTTTTATAACTGTGTGCTGGTTTGGTTTCTTTTTTTTTTATGGACTTCCCCCACATACGCAATGGACGGGATGGACTACGAAATCGACGACGACGACGACGATGATGATGATGCTGATGGCATCTGCCAATGCACACAGCTGTCTTCCGATGCCAACTACTATACTACTATATATGTGTGCGCATATATATGTTATAGTTATAAAGATATCTGGGCAAGGAAGTTGTAAACCACTCAGTCGGAGGCTGGCCATTAAGTTGTGATTTGTTTCACGGGGCTGGCAATTACGAGCGGCATCCACCTACTCCGAAATCCGTGCGGAGACAAAGGCCGCGAAAATTTGGGGGAAATTCGTCGGGCAGGAAAATGCACGGCCAAGGGTGGCGGCTGTGAAAGCCGGGAAGCCGGGAAAGCCGGGAAATCGACGGGGCCGGGATAAACAAAAACGACGACATGCCAAATGAATGCCGAGCAGTGCGAAAAAGCGCAAAACTTTCGGCAGTCGGAAAACAAAAAAGACAGACAGCCAGAGCGGAATATGTACGGACGTGTGGGTATGTATAGGAAAAATAAATAAAACCGAAAATTATGAAAAACAGGCGGCCGTAGTAGGTTGAAGCGGCCGCCACCGACACGAGTGGACTTTTGGATTTTTAAATATTTTTAGCCAAAAGGCAAAAGCGAATATTTTGCCAGTCGAGTGGGATATTGGAAAGATGAAAAATTATCGTCACTGTGTGTGTGTGTGTGTGTGTGTGTGTGTGTGTGTGTGTGTGTTTGTGTGTTTGTGTGGGTGTGGTTTATCTGGGGACTTGGCAACAGGGGCCGAAAAACGCCCACTTCCGTACAAAGTCTTTGAAACGGATCCTGTTCTCAGAACACCACTTGGCAGCACTCAGCACAATTAAGATCTGTTTTAATACATATATATATATTTTATGGTATTTTGGCGAGTTTCTTTTTTTTTTTTTTTTTGTTTCTCCAGGTGACCAGGTGGGAGGACTTTCCTTTTATTACTGTGTGGTTTTCCGATCGCTTATGGAATGTATTAAAATCTTAAAAGCGAACCGTACACGCTGACGCTTCGCGACGCACTGCACCTACGCTCCAAAATTTTGAAAACTCAAAGACATTTAGAAAATTCTATTCACGAAATGAATGGGCGAGAGGGAGCGAGATGGCGCTGTTCGAAAAGAAAGAGAGGGGGCTGGCTGATTGAAAAGAGAGGGAGCGTGCGCGCGATGAATGGCTGCTCTCAAGTGCAGAGGAACGATCCCAACCATCCGATCGCGAGCCAAGGAGCCAGGCAATTTATGCTGCTGCTCAATGGCAGCAGATGGGCAGCCCCACCACCCACTCCACCCACTTCGCCCATTCCACCCATTCCACCCACTCCACTCACTCACCCCACCAACCCACGCCCAATGGCATAGAAAAAATCCGTGTCTAAAATCGGACAAAAAAAAATGGGGGAAAACGAATCGATGAGTGCAGTTCGGCGTCAAAGTTCAAGCTGTTTTTGCAGTCGAGCGGCGAGAATTCTACACTTTTCACAACTCGATGATCGGGTCGGCTGTTTAGCCTAAACATGGCCGCAGTCGCCGACGCAGCCGCAGCCACACCCAGTCTTCCAGCCCAGATCCCCACTCCGTGTCGTAGTCGTGGTCTTAGTCGGCCGGTGTATCTATCAGTTGGCGGGGTGAAAATAAACAACAAAGGGGGAAAATACACAATACACAAAAAAAAAAGGAGAGCAGCGAATATGAACATTTTTATTCTCTAAACATTCCTGGATGTTTATGTTTTCCCTTTTTTTCCTCGGGCGGAACTCGGGGTGCTCAAGTGCTGGGACTGCGTTGAAACAAGAATCCGAATAGTTCTAAAACGCTTAGTTAGGGCTCCCTGTTTTCCGAAAAAAAAATGACGCCCCTCCCGATTTTCCATTTAACTTTCTCTCACATTGTAAACATTTCACTTGACGCTTGATGCTAAATTTAACATTTTCGCCTTCGGGCAAAACAGGCAAATAAATTACGGAAATAAACAAAAATGAGAAGCAGCAGCGGCAACAAAAAACTAAAGTTACCTGCGCTTCGAATTGCGGTTTCTTTTATCGCTGGAGAATTTATAAAAAAAAAAAAGTAAAATGGTTGAGGAAAATGGAAAATGCATGGGTGGCAAAAGGGCAGGGAAAACTATAAACAAACGAATGGGTTCGGAGGAGGTCGATTTGGTTGGGTTTTTAATGCGGATAACTAGCTGCAGCTAAGAAAAATGATGTAATTTTATAGCTGAACTTGTGCAGGTCTGATATAACATCCTCATATGGGTTCAAAATAATCTGCTGAGTTTAAAGCTTTCGTCAGAAATTACCTAGAGAAATAAATAAGAGAAGAAATGCAGTACACCCAATTTCACCTACGGTATTTGAGTTTGAATATTTAATTCCTGCTAAATATGTAAAAGTGGGGAAAAGGGTTTACTGTGACCGAGATTTTGCGAATTATAGCTAGGTAAATGGTATTGAACTTTTAGACTTTGACATGCTTGATTAACAAAACATAACTTTCTCATCTTTACATAAGCTTAATGTAGTTACAGTCATTGATAGGTCAACTTTTGTTCTTTTAAAACATATCAAGTGTTCTTCGATATTATTTTGAGAAGACTAATAATAATTTGAGAAAAATATTATGATTTTTGGTTGATCTAGTTAAATTTTGGTTAAATCTTTTCCCGTTAAAGGTAATATTTGAACGATATTGTGTTTCAAAGTCCGCAAGCAGAGTTATTCAAAGAAATAATGTTAACACATTTTCATTTTCTAAACATTTTTTTGAAATTAATAAAGCCTCTCAAAATAATTATTCAAAGGCATAAACATATATATAAGCAGGAACGACTTAAATTATAATTGATTATGGACTTAAAAACTAAGTTTTTTCTTGTTTCCAAACGAATTAATAACAATAAATAAAGTATTTCCAAGCAGAAAATTGTAATTTTATTTGAGACAAAACTTTCTTAAGTGAATGTTTGTGCTAGATTTCCGATTTAGTTGTTCATTGTTTAATTCGTCTATATATAACAAAACCACATCAGGTCAAGTGTGGTAAAATACAAAATTCTTTTTTCGACATCTTTCCAAAAAAATGATTTTTCACAATCTTAAAAAGGCAAATTATGACACACCTATTTTTAGAATCAAATCAAATAAAGTTCTTTCGATTTGAATGCGTAAATGTATGATTCTTATGAAGCGGACACCCTTATTTTCCATTAAACTTTAAAAGAAAAGCCGAACCCTAATGGGAGTAATACCGAAAGCAAAGTCACAGTTTCTTTATGAAATTTGACAATCACACTGTTGTTTAATCGTTTCCCAAATTTTATATATAATCCAGCGATGAGCGAACCTGACCACCACAGTGCAGAGGAGCCACCTTCGACCATAGAGTCGATAGTGGGCACTATTTTCAGCCGGCTGCGAATCATGGCTGTGGACATGGAAAAGCTGCAGAAGGCCAAGGAGAAACTGGAGCATATGCAGCGGCGGAACACCTTCTTCCACCTTTTGGGTCAGGATGAAGACGGCAGCATTTATCATGCCGGAAGCGACATGCATGTCCTCCGTTCAAAGTATTCCCTGATCTCGGAGGTCAACAAGAAATCCGACGAAATCTCCGAGGAGGATGTCGACTTCGAGGATCTGAGCGAGGACCTCTGCCTATTACCTTTTGAGGAGGATCGCTGGCATGGCTTCTTCAAAGGCTTCCAGATCCTAAACACTCCACAGGCTCCCGATCCAAACGAAAATAGCAAGTGCATCGAACTTACGGCGATGTTGGACTGCGAACAAGAGCTCAAAATTAATCTACGTAAGTAAATGGTTTTGCATCTGAAATTTTAACGTATAAAAGTTGGCGGAATTTGTATATACATTTTACAAAATAAATATGTAAGCATTTGTAAAAGACCATAGTTAACAAAAAATTGTTAACCAAATTCTGTTTAGAGTAAATCTTCAAAATAGTATTTCCCACAGTTTTGAACATGCAATACCCACGCAGGTAAATCGTCAAAACAATTAATCCTGTTTTGCAACAGGAGACATTTTATGTTACCTTTATATTTTTGAGTAACACAGGACAACAAAAATGATACTTATCCAAGCTTATCTGTATTCTAAGTTTTTCTATGTAACTCCTGGTATTTTTAAATAAATAAAATAAATAGATTTAAGACATATTTGAGAGTGGTTACTCTATTTCATTGCTCCATCTTAGATGCCTTTCCTTAGATTTACATAACAAATTTTAAAGTAAAACTAACTAAAGAGGTTTTTAAGTAGACAGACGAGTTCACCTCTATTCCTAAGGAATTTAATATGGCTTTTAAAAATACAAATAAAATAAATGCACTTCAATATTATACATGTGTGTAGACAAATCTTGTGAATTTTGTAATTTATGTTGTAAGACCATAGGCCTGTTGGAATATAGTTAAATGTTAAAACCGATTAGAATAAATTTCCCCCTTTACTTTCAGTAAACGGAGTCCGCTGCTTTCTGATCGATCTTTCGGTGGGCACCCAGCACGACAACCAGAGTCTGATCGTGAAGCTGCGTGAGGCGGAGATTAGTGTGTCCAAGGAGTTGGGCTTCCCGGTGGCGTCGTCGGTCATGGTAAAGCTATCGCCGCGCCACCAGTTCACCGGCGGCTTCAGCACCCAGTTCCGTCAGGATGGCAAGACGTCCGTCGTCCTGGAGCAGGGCAAACCGATAGTCCTGTCCGTGGATCGGGACTACTCCGACCGGTGCAACGAGGATGTGGTCTATGTGAACGCTCGCTTCCTGATTCCCGATGTGCAGCAGTTCGACTTCATCCTGATTGGCGACGAGATCCAGCTGATGGTGCGGAGCGTCCACGCCGACCACCTCAAGTGCTGTGTGGCCCGGGGCGGAGTGCTGTACGCCCACATGCCCGTGCTGTTCCCGGCCAGATGCCGCCGCTTCCGGATCTCGTACGAAGAGCTGGAGGACCTGACCTTTGCCCGCGAGGTGGGCCTGAACGTGGTGGTGTCGCACATTGTGGGCACCCCGCAATACCTCGATGACTTGGAGCACTCGATGGCCGTCATGCACTGCGATGGCATGCGGCTCTACGCCAGAGTGGTTCTCAACGAGATCCGAGGATGCAAGGGGGAGCTAAACTGGGCCACCAAGCGCTACGATGGCTTCCTGGTGGAACTGGCCGAGCCAGCGCTCATCCCGGACATCATGCACCTCTGTCCCGACGCCGAGTGCTTCATGCAGCTGGCCCATGCCTCAAAGAAGCCCATCATTTTCGATCCGCGGCTGATAGACGAGCAGAAGATCAGGGTGGACCCGGCGCACTACTACTACACGTTCTTCTATCCGGACAAGTATGTGGTCTCCTGGTCGCCCCAGCCGAAAGTGAGCGGCTACTTCCGCTTCCTGCAGAGCGCCATCTTCCAGCAGATCTGTCCCCAGGCGCTGGCCGTCACTCCCTACTGCGATCACTCGCACACGGGAGCGGACAGCCTGGCGCGGGCCGTGGCCACCGCCTCCCTGGAGATGCGTGCTGTGTCGATCGTCGTGATCGGGGTCACCACCCGGATGGTGCAGAAGATCGCCCACTTCCGGCCGCAGGCTCCCATCCTTTTCGTCAGCCACATGCGCTCCGCCGAGGACTACGTTTCGATGTACCACAATGTGACTATGCTCCCGTTCCGCTCCAAATCTCTAGTCGGCCATCGCAGGAACGTCTTCCGAAAGGCCATCTACGGCTTGGCCTACTTGGTCACGCGCAAGATCGCCCAGCATAACGATCCGGTGATCCTGGTGTACAACCACGAAGAGGGCACGTTGTTTCCCGAGAAGTATGTCACCTACAAGCTGGACAAGACGCACTTTGCCTCGCACATGTCCGAGATTTTTTTCACTGTGGACCACGACCAGAACGCTCAGACCTTCAAGGATATTGAGGCCATTTAGATGCCATGCCACGTGTGTGTGTGTAGATTATTTATTTGGTTTGGTAAGTAATCGGAATCGGAATCGGAATGTTAATGTGTTGGCTTAGAGTATACAAAACAAATACAGATATACATACATAAATATATATAGATACACATTTCCTACACTGATCTAGGGGCTATTCATCAGCGTCTGTACAGAGTCGATACCCGTAATCCTATGAGGGCCTTTCGTCTTTAAAGGTATATACAGACTAATTTGGGGAAATCTACAGTTGCGGTTCAATTTACCTAAGCTTTACAGTGCCAACAAACAATGTACATATTCCCATGTTTTCGGGGTTAAACAATTGGCAAACAGCAAAAAAAAAACGATAAATATTACAGCTGCTATCTTTGGGTGCTGAGTCCGCTCAAGGATTCTTTTGCAAGACCCTCAAGGTCACGTGCTCGTAGGCGGCCTTCAGTGTGGTGTAGCAATAACCCGCCATTCCATTCATCTCGGCCTGGAAGTTGGGCCCACCCGTCAGATCGTCCAGCAGGGCCAGCTCCGCACCCAAGTGGGGAACCGCTGCGCGCAGCATTGTGAGCATCGTCAGCGGAATCATGTTGTCCGCATTGAGCTGCGCGGCATTGGCTGTGGGTCAGGGCTACTGATGAACAATTTCACAGATTTCTAGGCGTTAATGTGCGACTCACCAGCCATGGCGTGCTCGTAGGCCTCGGTTAGCAGCTGCGTGCTGCGCTGTATCACAGTCAACATGTCCTGGGGACTAAACTTCTCCTGCAGCTCCTTCAGCGTCTGGACGGACTCCTCGAACTTGGGGTCCAGCATCACATTATGAAGAAAACTGCAAACGAAAACCGCTCTTTTACTTCAGTTATTTGTGTCATAATGGGACAAAAAATACAATACATTTTGTGAAACATGCGAAATAAAAGTTTACATAGAAATCAAATGATAGATTTTATACTAAACTTCAACTTATAATTTTTAAAAACGCGTTGTCTCTGTTTGCTTATTATAAATTGTTACAATAAGAAGCAGGACAAGTATAAATTGAATGAATAAATTAGTTTTAATATAGTTAAGTAAAGGCCAAAGATGCAAATATAACCTTGCCAAATACAAATAAAAATGTTCCTAGTGCAACAATATCTCCTGTTCCTGATCGACGTACTTAATTCTAATAAATCTGTAGGGTCGATTTGAGTGAATAATTCAATACCTTTCATGGCCCATAAGTTCGACAAGCTCTTGGTCCTTAAGTTTCTCGGCAAGATTTAGGTTCTGCCGGTACATTTCGTCCTTGCGGCTGTACTTATTGGCGTAGAGCACAAACAAGGTGGAGTAGATGCCTTCCGAGAGCACCAACGGGTAGAGCAGGGTAATATGCGATATAACCTCCCTGCTGCCCTCCATGTGGCAATAGTCCTCGGGCAAAGCTGGGAACATCTTGCGTACAAAGCGGTAAATGCGTCGCGATATGGACTCCCATTCCCTCATCGCCTGCTTGGCCAGGATCGGGGTCGGCTTAACCTTCCAGTAGCCATATGAGTAGTGGAAACAGTTGGCAATGCGCTCGTTCAAGGCGAACAGCGGATGATGGCGATCCTTGAAAGCCTGCTCCAGGTACAGACGTATGGAGGCCACATCCTGCTCCGTGAGCACCGAGGCCATGCCAAAACTGGGCACCTGCTCCAGCATTGCACTCGTCGTGGATGTGGTCGAGGTAATCGAGCAATCGCTATTGTTCATGTGCTTCGAGATGCTGTTATTGTTATTGTTGTTGTTATTGTGACTTAATTTTGAAAAACTTTCGTTGAGTGTGCTGGACTCATCGCCATGGACAGTGCTGTTCAGCAGGCTTTGGTCCAACTGGAAGCTGGCCAGACTGCTGCTGTCCAAGTCCCGAGATGAGTTGTGACCCATGGAGAGCAAGCTATCCGCCCTCTGCAATCCACCTGGTTTGCTGTTAAGTGTCTCTTGGGAGTGAATGCGACGAGGTGGAAATCCCAGAAAGTCCAACGCCGACGCAGCCTCTGTTTGCAGCTTGCTGAGTGCGTTTGTGGTGGTCCGCGCCTTCGCCAGTGGCGAAGAAGTCTTCTGCGGCAGCGGCAAACTCAGCAGGATGTTGTTGAAGTAGTTGCCGGGCTTGGCTCCCTCCCGAGCCCGCTGCTTGCTCATGTACACCGCTATGCAGTTCCAGAGCTGGGCCGTGCTGAGCGTGGGTTTCGAGGACTTCCTGAGGGTGCCTCCTGATGGATTGCCACCTGAGCTGCTGCTGGTCGCCGTGCAATTGGCCAGGTCTGATTCAAAATTGTTGAACAACGAGCGCCACTTGCGATTGTGATCCACCACTTGACGTCCCAGTGAGCTGGCAAATGAAGGTTATTATTTTAAGCTCACGTTTTTGATAGTAGACATATTTAAAAATAAGATTTATTATTATCAAGAAAGGAAGCAAACTTTGGAAATCCGAAATTTATAGCTATTCTAAAAAGTAAATATTTGTTAAAATAGCATTTCCGATTTTTATGACTTTGTATTTAGCACAGGGAAGCTATAATGATTTCCTGCAGCTTTACGACATCGTTATCCGATTTTAATCAAATTAAAACTGTTATTCTGAATTAATAAACCAGCGAAGAATATTCAAATCAATTTAATAACAGGGAAGTTTTTTTTTTCACATATATTTTTCCGATATTTCGCAATGCAGCTGTAATAAGGTCGTCGGATTTTAACAAAAGTAACTTAGTTTTAAAATTTTTACCCATGACTATGTCTTAAAAAATTCATATAGATACAAAAACAAGGAAATAATTTTAAAACAGAGAGGCTAGTTTGCATAGGAACACAGCTATGTAGATCGACTCTCCCTGAGTTTATATTATAATAACAGATTGCAAGGGTATAAAAATACCTTGTTATGTCTAAGAAAGTTCCCAAATTATGGTTGCTTTTGGTTAAATTGGGCAAACTTTTTCAAAAAACAGCAACAGTGGTTGGTAACTCTCTTCTTTAACTCACCTGGGATATTTGGGAAAGCGTCGATTCAGCACCAGTTCACCAGCCTGGATGCGCACCGTCTCCCAACTGCCGCTCAGCTGTCCGAACATCTTGTTGCCGATCAGCTCGCAGGTGTCGTCGGACTCTCCAGTGGCTATGGCTCCACTTCCGCCACAAGCATCTCCGCTGGGCATGTAGTACTCCCCCCGTCCGTTGGGTCCGTGCAGCGTGAGTTCGCCCTCGTAGTAATAGTCGTTCTCGAAGACCGCAACCCCATGGCCCATGAGATCGTCTCCGGAGAAGCTGCCTTCAAAGTAGTCGCCGCGGTTGGTGATGCAACTGCCGATCCCCGAGCGCTTGTTGTCCGCGAACATGCCCATGTACTTGTCCCCGCTGACCAGGTCCTCGATCACGCCGTAGCCACTGCGGGCGTTGGCCTGGTACTCGCCCACGTAGATGTATCGGTTGTTCCGCATCATCCCGTGGCCGTGGAACAGACCCTCGCAGAAGTTTCCCTCGTACACCTCGCTTTCGGGAGAATCCTTGTTGTGGATTTCGTACGTCCCGTGACCGTGGAAGCGACCTCCTTTAAAGTGGCCCACATACAGACCCGACGACGGAATCACCATCTTGCCATAGCCTGTGTATTTAAATATGATTAATGAGTTGAGTTAATCGACTATATAGATCTGAAGTCAATTTTATAATCCAATGAAGGTGATCGGACCTAAAAGATTTTCGTGTATTAAAAGACAATTGTGTATATCTCGCTTTTTGTGCTCTCTTTGGTCTCCATAAACATAATACGACAATATAGGCTTGAAGATGAAGTTTTAAAAGAATCTTTTTAAAATCTCGAAAATCTTTTTTTAACCCTGCTGTATTAAATAATTTGAATCAGGGATTCAAACCAATTAAATAACTTTTACGGTTACAACTAAAATTACTATTTCGGTTACGTATTTTGTTTTGGTAAGAATTTTTATACCGGTTGCGGTTACGGTACCAAAACAATGTGCGGGTACCGGTATTGTACCGGTTCAAATAAAACTTTTGTATGAACTTTCATAATTTTTTCAGTTTTTCTTCTATTCTTTTCAATGATATAAAAAACATTTGCAGGAACTGATATATTAAATGGTAAAAACGTTTTACGACTTATGTATTTTTAAGGATCACATTTTTCCGAACCGGTAATAATGTTTCGGTATCGGTAACGGTTGTTTTGGTTGCTGTATAATTCGGTTACGGTTCCGGTTAGGCAAAATCAAATTATATTCGTTCCGGTTTCGGTTTTGATTCGGTTTTAATGGTTAAGAATAATGGTTACGCATCCGATGGAATATTTTGATGTTAATATTCAAGGGGTTTAGTTTTAGTGTTTGGTTTCAACTATTTAAGCTTTAAGGGTAGAAATCTCACCTTCGATGACGCCGTGATGCAGCTCCCCGCAGTAGACACTCCCGTCCGGATACTCCAGATAGCAGTTGCCGTGGAGGACGCCCTTCCTCCACGTGCCACATGCCTTCACCCGCGAGAACTTGGGATGCTCTCGACTAAACTCGTAGCCCGTGGAGCGAGCACTGGGCACCGGACTACCGAGCGGTCTGCCCAAGGACGCAACGATGCTCGACTGCAGCTGGTCCAGCCACACCTTGCGCATTTCCTGCGAACGCGTCGACACCAGGAAGCTCTTTTCCGGCGTCGTCAAGCGCAGGTGCAGGTCATCCTCGGTCCACACCCACAGGGTGGTCAAGGGATAGGAGTACAGCGAGTTGCCGCCCACCTGGCACAGGAAATCGGAGAACAGGATGAAGCTGTTGCTCGACCTGCCGAGGCCCGAGGTGACCAGTTTCAGTGGAACCAGTGCTGACGTGAGTATCACCCTTCGCTGCCGTCTTCGGAACTGAACGATCCTGGGATTACGATCGTTGCTGCTCCAAAAGTCCTTGGTGTTCACGGCCAGCTCCTGGCTGATGCAGCTGTGCCGTGCAAACTCCGACCAGGCCACCCTGTGCTCACCATACTCCGGCTGCGTCCTCACAAGCAGCTCCATGAACTGCACAAACAGCTGATAGATGCTGAAGGGTTGCTGGAACAGCCGAATGACGTAGCTCTCCTCGTTGAGCTCGGCCAGCGGGCTGCAGAGTGCGGCAATGGCGCTCACCGCTTCGCCAAAGCCATTCACCGAGTACACATCGCAGTAGGCCTTCGTGTATCCGTCGAACAGCTCGATGTACTCCTTGTAGTGGCAGATGAACAGCAAATCGGCGGGCTGCACAAAGTCGGCGCGATAGAATCCCTCTAGCGAGTGCAATGTCGCCACCAGCAGGCACAGTATACGCTCCCAGCTGACCAACAGCGGACCGAGGACGCTGAGCGAGTCGGCGGCCGATTGCTGCTGCCAGATCTCCAGCGTTTGGACTGCCTGGCGGTGCTTAAGCAGCAGCTGCAGCTGCGATTGCAGGTGACTCAGGTAGTAGTGGTACTGGCGCTGGAACTGCCTCTGGTTCTGCAGCGTGTATCGGCCGGAGCACATGAGCAGTCGGAGTTGACGTGGCCACGCAGCGCCCAGCTGCAGCTGGAGGAGCGTCTGGGCGTAGGTGCTGGACTGCTGCAGGTGTCGCATGGGAGGCGGCGGCTGGAGGGATTGTATCTGCCCATTGGCATTCAGCAGCAGCGTGTGATAGTCGCCACAAGTTGCCTCCAGCGCCGAGTTCTGCTCCAGGGGCAGCGATGCCGCATTGTCCGCTATGGTGATCTCCATGGGCGAGCTCACATCCTCGCCCAACTGGGCGTGATCGTTCAGGCCCCAGTGGTAGAGCCTTCCGTCCAGGGTGCGGGCCACGGTGTGCTCCAGTCCGGCCGCAATGCTGCACACACCCATGCTGTCCAGTTTCTGGAGACGCATCACATTGGCCCGCCGGATGTGATCTCCGGTGCCGAGAAGGCCGTTATTGGACGCCCCGAAAGTGTAGAGTTGGGTGTGGAGTAGGGCGTATCCCTGATGGAGCAGGTGCCTCGTGTTGGCCGCAAAACTGCGCTCCGAGTTGTCACTGCTGAGCGACTTCACAGAGGCCCGGTCGTCCTCGGGCTCTTCCTTTGCATTGGCCATCTGCAGCTGCAGCAGATCGTCGGCCAGGTTGTGGGGAGCCACCAGCATCACGAAGTGCTCGCTTCCGGCGGCCAAGTCGAGCAGTTCCTTGCCCTCCTCGTACAAGCGCATGTGGCGGGGCTGCTGCTCCGTCTTGAAGACCTCGCCGCAGCTGCCCATGACATAGGTTTCACCACCGGCGCCGACAAAGACCACGCCCTGTGCGGAACAGCAAACCCGACGGATGCGAACGCCCTCGGCGAGCAGTTCAAGCGGGTCGAAGCCGAGGGTTTGCCAGGCGTGGAGGTGACCCACTTCCCGACCAGATCCCGTGACCTGGCGCTGCACGGAGCCGTTGCTCAGCACCACGAACAGCTCCTGGCTGCCGGTGCAGAAGTCCACGTCCACCACATCCGTGCGCAGGAGTTGCAGGTCCAGGTGACTGCGGTTGGGCTGCAGTTGGGCGGAGTAGAGGACGTGGTCGGTGGTCAGGAGGAGCAGGCCCTCGCCAATGCTGCAGATCCGCGATGCGGGTGCCCGTCGCAAGGGAGGCAATCCGCGCCAGTGAAGCTGCAGCGTCCGGCCCTCGTGGTAGATGGTGAAGGACTCCTGAGCCTCCTGGCCCACAACTGTCGAGTCATCCGCCGCACTGGCCATCGTGCGCGAGTGTTGTGGGGGATTTGACCAGGGCCAAGGTTTTGTAACACGACGCAATTGCTCGAACTGCACGCAGGCTGCTCTCACATGCTGCACTTGCTCCGATCTCGGCTAGGCGCTCGACCATCGACCATCGACCATCTGACGCCGTAAATTGGAACGCAATTTGAGATGCCACGGTACGAAAATGTCGGTTTTCACTTGCTTATTACTGGCTAATAGAATTCATGTTTTTGTGATGGTTTCTGGCACTGAGTGTGACCAGAGCTTTTGAGTTCCAATTAGAACTTATCAGGTAAGGGTGTTCAGGGAAAAGTGCAACTCTACAATTGGGGTATTCCTTAATTACTTTACGTGGCTAGCTGCTCACACTTGAAGATCAATTAGAAAATTGTTATTTAATTAATTTAATATTTTATCCCTTTGCTTTAAAAATATGAGAAAATCCAAAATTTGTATAGAAATGATTTTGATTTAAGCCTAACTAAACTAACATTTATTTTAAGTGTGATTATTTATACCTTTTTATCTATATCAATATCTATACATATAAATTTGCGCTTAATTGTTCCTTTGGTACGGATACTAAATTTGTTTTATCAAATTCGTAATTCGTTTTTTCGTAAGCCTTTTAGTAGAATTACTAGGAGCTATATTCCACTTTTTTAAAACCATTGCCGATCAAACTATGTTATGCATGAACCTTTTAGAGTGCTATGTAATGACTATAACAAACTCTATCACATAATTTCTACCATCGACTCTTACCTAATTTTGAAAGTATTATTTATATCTTACTCAGCATTATATAGTATTTTGTTTCGTATGCATTTTGAATAAGTCCTTCCGTTCTTATATTGCCCTTTTCTTCCACTTCGCACGATCTCGTATTAAATAAACCCCTAGTGTCGTAAGGGCCACAATTATGTACCGTCCATAGTGAATAAATAAGCAAAAATATTAAAAATATTAAAATATATATAGTTGCTAAGTAAGATAACAGATAACAGATAAACACAACGAGCTGCTTTCGTCACTACCTTTAAATTCATTCCCCTAACATAGTTTTCCTGGTATTTTTTGATTGCTATCCAGTTTATTTTTTTGTATTTCGAGTGCGGTCATACTGTTCTCGCCATCAGCTGTTTGCCCAAAAAGTTTTCTGCAGGATTTGTTTATTTACCTTAAAATGTAGTTTTCTTGATTATTATTTGAAGTTACTTGTAAGTAACAAAAAAATACATCGTCAATAAGTGTGCTGCAACATAAATTGGTAAGATTGAAATGGAATATAATGCCTATTTTCCAACAGGCATACGCCCACAAAACTCGTTTTTTGGCCACGAATTCACCCTCCCGAAATGAAATTCTTTCTGCAGCTTGACTATGGATTCCGATTGCGAGGGCGCTGCAGCGTTGGCAGATGACTCCGGGCACTTTAGCTGCACCAGCGACGAGGGCGGAGGCGATCCTGGCCAGAAGCAGGAGCCGATGTTCTTGGTGCGACAGGAACTCCTTCGAACGCGCAGCGAGGTGGAAAGACTACTCAAATCGGAACAGTGGTACAAGCAGGAGCTCAAGTCGCAGAAGCACAGCCGACTGGAGACCCTGGAACGATTGTACGCCCAGGAGCGCAAATATCTGATGGAGAACCAAAGGCTGCAGCAGGAATCGATGCGCCTGCACACTAAGTGTGCCGCTCTGGAGAAGCAGCAGGAGCATGAATCCCCAATATCCCCCTGCACGTCCACGTTTAAGGGGGATTCGGAATCCCCTGACTCCTCCTTTGAGGCCAAACAACAGGAGGCCCGCCTCCGGGATCAGCGTCAGTTGATTGATGTGCTGCGCAAGCAGAAGAAGATGCTGCTGGACGACATCCAGCGACTCAGTCTGGAGCACGACGAGAAGCTGTCGCAGCTGCAGCAAACCTTGGCCGGCATGGAGCTGGAGAGTAAGCACGTGACGGGAAAATGCAAGCAACTACTCGACCTGAAGAGCCAAATGGAGCACCAGCTGGAACTGAGGAGCACTGCGCTGCGCAGTGTGACCGCTGAGCGGGAGCAACTGCGCCAGGTCATCGCCGAGCTGAACGAAACGCTGCAGACACAGGAGCAGCTGCTCACCCTAAAGGAACAGGAGTTTCTCGATCTAAAGCATTACTACCAACAAAAGCTGACACGGGAAAGCAGCATTGAGATCATGCACTCCTACAGTCTGAAGTTCCACGAAGAGATCAACAGCAAGACGAGTGAAATCGCCAGCCTTAAGAACTCCCTCAACGAACTGCAGACGGAGTTGATGATGATGTCCCAGTTGAAGGAGCAAAGCGAGGAGCAACAGCGTCAGCTAGAACAGTTGGAGTTCACACTGCAGGCTCAACTTTTGGAGGAGGCACAGCTCCGACAAAGCGATGCTCTCAAGCAGGAGCAGGTGGAGAATCTAACCATTTCTTTGGCTTCCTTGCAAATAGAAAAGGAAGGCCTAAAGGAACATTTAAAAGAGGCCCAATGCACTCTGAAAAAACTGGAGCAAACAGTGCACAGCCTTCACGGACAGTACGCCGAGATGTGCTCCAAGTGCGAAGAGACCAGGCTGCAATTGGAACTGGAAAAAATAGAGATTGGCAAGTTGAAGCAGGAAAGTTCCCTCAAGGAAAGTGAGTTGACCGAGAAACTCCAAGATTATGCCGGTCAATGTGATGAGCTTAGGCGAGCGTTGGCCAAGGCGGAGGCCCGAATGGATGTCCAAAACAAGAGTGCAGAGTTCTGGCAGGAGAAGCTAGAAACCATCGAAAGGTCGAGACAACAAGAGACGAAACAAAACCAAGTGACTCAAACGGACCACGAGGACCCGATTCTAGTGCAACGCATCGAGACTTTGGAATTGCAACTGGCGGATGTTAAGGCCCAGAAATTGCAAACAGTTTCCCTTCTCCAAACACTGCTACAACAACAGGATGCGAAAATCAAAAGCACCAATGAAATGGAAACTGATTGGCTACAACTTTTGGACGCCCTGCAAGCTACCCAACAATTGGAGCAGCAAATGCGAGCGGAACTTCAGCAAAAGACGATTGAATTAGAACAGCTAAACGAACTTTTCGCTGGCCAGAATGATGAACTACAGACGCTACAGAAATTGAGCCTGGCCAAGGATGAGGAAAATCGTCTGGAGTTACAGCTGCTAAAGGAAACATTCCAAAAGAATCTGGAGTACCACTCTGCCGATTCGATGAACTTACAAAGGCTACAAAGCCAGGTAAAATCTTTGCTCGAGGAGCGAGACGAAAATACGCGGGACGAACGCAAGGCGGTGGAGTGCTTGCGATCTCTGGGTCAAGTTCTCGAAATGGAAACGGGAAGGAGGCTGCCACACATCAAAAGCTGGACACAGTTGGCCAAACTTTTGCGAAAGGAGCTGAGAAACGGGAGAGTGAACAACCGAAAGGCTGAGGAATTGCCAGTGCTCAAAATGAAGCTGGCGCAGATCAGCGGGCGGCATGAACAAGCGCTGGCCAAAATAAAGGTAAATTATAAAGGCACATAAGTAATAGGAGTTGCTTATGAAATCATGTGTTGCTGTTTATCAAAAAACAAATATGTATGCGAAGGTTTTCCCTTTTAAATCGAGCATAAATGTCTTTTGGGCTTACAAAGAAAATGGAATTATATTCCCGAAAGGCTAAAAAAATATATATTTTGTTCGTAGCACTTGTATTATTTAAGAAATTAAAACGTATCGCGTTGTTTATTACAAAATCCAAAATTAGGTAAAAACTCCAGACTGCTTTATTTGCTGTTTTAAAGTTTGCTTTTGAATTAACTGCTTTAATTAAATATTTTATTTTCTGGAACTAGCTTTTGTCGCAAATATTTTTACATAAAAATAAACTATCTTGGTTTATGGACTGATAATTTAAAAGATGATTAAATAATTCCGTTTTGCACAGTATCTGGAGCAAACCTTAGCAGCGGAGCGAGCGAGCTTCGAAGCTTCGGATTCGGGCAAATCGACGGCCAACACCACGCCCCAGGAACCCGCCCATGAGGTAGCTAATCTGATCGATGATTACAAGAAGGTAATTCTGGCTTCACTTGGATTAGTTACTCTTGGCATACAATATACCGATTTCCACCCTCGCAGATCGTTGAACAAACCGCCAATGAGACATGTCGCCCACGCAACAGCTTCATCATGGAGCTGATCGAGCGGAGTCAGCAGTGCCAACCGAATTTGTGCCAATTAAGCGAGGGCCTCGCAGCCTGCAGCTCGGAAATGGAGGAACTGAGCAGGCTGCTCGTTGCTGGTCGAGATCAGAGGAGAGTGGAGGTCATTCCCTCCCTTATGGAGGAACTGCGAGCGGTGGCGGAGCACACTTAGACCGCATAGTGTAATTTTAGAACTATTTTCTCAAGAAGTACTTATATTTTTGTATCGATTTTTTGTTGTCTTTGGAAGGTGCAATTATTGAGTTATATTTGTGTTTAACCTAGTCTCTTTGTCCTAAAGTCTTATAGGATCCTACTAGTTTAATTTATGAAAATATTTATTATGTTATTTTTTTTGTATTCGTTATAATTATTTATATGTAAAACATTCTGATTGTTTAATAATTTAATTTACCCAAATTCTATATGATCACTTATTGCCAAGCTAAAAAACTATTTTTTCTATAATATACACAAACCATATTTGGTAGCCACAAAATATATATTTATTAATGTAGTTGACAGCATTGAAAAGTTACACACGATGTGTACAATAAAATTTACTTGTGTCAAACTGATGAATGCAAATGATTCACTTTCGTGGGCATCTGGGAATCTTGGTCCCGTCATTCGTCGTAATAACCTCCTTTTGTTCGTACGTCGTATTTCCGTCTTCGTCCATGTCTAAAACTTCCTGCATTTGGCCTTTTCGACTCCGGGTTATGCCGCACCTTACCTTATCGTTTTTATCCATGCATATAATGAGGAGATCATGGTCCAGTCTGTCAGATGGCTTCAAAACCTTGGTCACTTTGCATGAGGCGGTAAACTTTTTGGGGCAGGTTACACCGGCACATTGCCAGCCATCTAAGAAAAAAAATACATATTTAAATGACAAGCATGTTGTAGGGACTACCAGGACTTACTCTTGCTTTTTTTTACCAGCGCCCTATTCATATCCTCGTTTAAGTGTGCATATGCGTCTGCCTTCATCGAATATAAATTGTGAAATAATATGCTAGAAGCCGTAACTTATTTAACTTTGTATAGTTTTTTGAGTTACCTTTGCTTCAGAGTCCGCAGGAATACATAGACAAACCACCCCTGTTAATATTAATGAGATAAAAATGTTCATAACTAGTCCTTGATGATGAAGGTCTCCTCTAAGACTGCCTACTTTAAAAGAACTTAGCTCAGTGCTTATCTGTTTTGTAACTATGAAAAATCAATTATTTGAAATTATCGTGAATGGTTTGATATCCGTTTAAGAGGATCTGTCATAACTTTATAGTTATTTAGTCACACTTAAAGTTACTTTCATGTAATGCAATGCAATAATTACATTTTGTATAGCTCGGAATCTCAATTATTTTGAGTTCTAAACAAAAAAAACAGCCTATTTTAACCATTTGGAAAGCTAAATAATGGATTGTGAAGGTCTTTCATGAATGATGTAAGCTGTGGCAAATCGATTTTGTGGCTTCATCTTCAATCAGAGACGGCGGCAGTCTTTTCTTTTCTGTTCGAATATATTAAACGAAGGCAACCGACACCGCCCTTGGCATTGTCAACGCCTGGGAATGGGATCCGGTGAGGTTCGGAGGAGGACGTCCGATCCACTTGGGTATTGATAAATGCGTTGAAAACTAAGCGACCGCCCAGTGGATTACCACCGCTCCACGCCAAGCTCCCCGATCCTCGGAAAAAGCACCTCCTGCAGCCAGCTCGCGATGGGGGATGAGGAGCAATCGACCACAATCGCTGGTCAAATTCAATTGGCGCAATTTTTCATCTGTGGCTCCAAGGGATCCGATCTGGCGGATCCTTTTGGGCTCTTTCTGCTGCCGTCTATTGTTGCTCTGGGCTCTGGCAATTGTTCTCGGCTTGGCATCTCCGAGCTGTGGAGCTCTGGAGCTCTGGAGCTGTGGAGCTGTGGATCTGCGAAGCCCTCTGCTCAAGGTTGTTTATTTTGAAAAATCACCATCACCCGATCGTGGCCTGTGCCGACGGCTGGGGATTTAATTCTACTCTGGACATTTATAAATTGCATTCAATTTATACACAACACGAAAGCGTGATTTTTACATTTTTACAATCTAGCGAATAATAGATCAGCGTCGTATTATTGCCGACTCCCTCAATGCAATGCTCTTCAGAGCAATCGATGGTTTTTGAGTCTTCAGCCTGTGACATGAAGAAGGTTCTCTTTGCTTTTTTTAATTACGAAAGGAATTTGTTTCAGGTAAAACTTTAAGGAAGGATCAATGACGAATTATATGATTACATGATTATTTATGATTAAATCAGAAATTAAAAACAAAAACTGTTCTTTGAACCTTTCGAAGTCTGTTTGAATTCACTTGTGATTAGACTGCCGATTATATGCGAACTTTGAATTAAAAAACATGTTGCTAACAAAACCTTAATTTACTAGTTAATTAAAAAACAGGTTGCTTACAAAACCTTAATTAAATTAAAGCCTTACTAAATGAAGATTTTATGGAAATAATTTGTTTTCAATTAAAGTTTGCCTGGAATCGAACGCATCGATACGGTTTTGCATATAATCTGATGTCTACTGGTGACCAGTGATCGCAAGTTTAAGCATTAAAATGACAAAATATCTTTTATGGTTTGGCATACCGACCTGTTTTTATAAGTCTCGCGAGAACACAACATTTATGATTTGGAAAGCGAAAAAAGACATTAAATAAAATACCTTTAGCCAAAAAGTTTAGCGCCTTTGGCATTCACAGTAAAAATTATAATAACACTAGTACAAAAAAAATTATTTCAAATGTTATTCGAAAAGCATCACAAACGGGAGTCAAATCTTTTGGTTGGATTAGTGTTGAAACCTAGAATAAATTTTAAGATCCACTTTCTTCTAGAAAGTTCTGAGTTAAAACACTTTATTCGATATGAAAGCTTTTAACAAAAATGTTCTTATTCAGACTAAATAGTTCATAAGGTCTCAGACAAAGCTATTTTCAACATATAATATATATCCCCCACAAGTATTTTTAAACCACAGGTAACTATTTAAAGTCTCGCTTGTCTTATTGCATGTTCGCCCGAGATCCCCCGCTTGGACTCTATTATTCAAATACTATATCCCTACTTCAGCGCCTTCAAAGCAACTACCTCAATGGTTGGGACACCATTTCGTCCGTCCAAGGGTATCATTTGATTCGATGAGAGTGCCTTTTGTTGTACTTTTCTTTGGCTCGGTGATTTGGAATCTGTGTATTGGGCAGGTCGCTCATTAAAGGGCAAAGAGTTGGCGGGCAGCAGGGGCGGCTGACCCAACAAAAGGCATCAGCATTTAATTCTCACCAAAGCGATTGATGCGGTCGCAGGGGCAGAGCGACGATGTGGGATACGGTCCTTCTTCTTCGCTGCCAGGGTCTCAAATCTCGAGAGCCAGTCCTAGTGCCAAATTGCAAATGCAACTTGTTAACCTTGAAAACCGAGCGGACGGATGGACCATCGGACAGATAGTCAAGGAGCCTGAACCGCAGACCCGGCACAGTATGAGGCATTTAGTCAGACGTCGTCGTCTTTGCTCTTAATGTTGTTGTTGTTGCTGTTGTTGCCGTTATTGTTGTTGTTGTTATTGTTGTTGATACCACTGCTGCCGCTGTTGTTGTCCGTCTGCCGGATCACTCGTTTGTCTAGCTGCTACCCCCCGCTTATGTACTGCTACACTGAAACAAATATGCCCGAATTATTTGCATTTGAGGTATGACATAAACTAAGGAGCACCCAGAAAACAAAATGATCAAAAAATTACAATTACAATTTTACAATTTTAAAAAATTACAATTTTTACAATTTTTAAAACAATAATCTAAAGGAGTCCCGCACCTTTAAGGTCATTTGGCTTATGATAATAAAATCCAAAGCTATGATAACAAATTTAATGAGCTACAATAATCTTAAAACTTAAGGAATTGGCCAAAAATGGTAAGAAACAAAATATTAAGATCAGGTCGATTTTGTGATAGATACATAATATAGTTTTCCGAAACGAGGCAAAGCGCAATAAGATGACATGCACAATAAAAATTCCTACGTCCCGAAACTGAGAATTTGAATTCTAAAACTGAGGATTTTGAAGTACAGATTTTTCCTAAGAACTCGCAACTCTAAATTGAGGATATCATCACTTGAATTTAAATACAGATAACATTAAAACTGAGAGACTGGCTTGCTAGAGTGATGCTTATCAAAAATATTTATATATTTACTTTATATGTTCGAAAATGTATCCATCACTGCGTTGCAAAGTTTTCAGTGAAATTATAATACTTTCTGCAATTGTAGTACATAAAAATAAAAAATCATGTTTAAAAGTTTAAAACACGAGAGTCATGTTTTGGTTTATTTTATGGTATTTTGGTATGGTTAAAAGAAAAAGTTTTATTGCTTAAAATTAAATAAAGCTTCTTCGTGAGAACAAAAAATTCAGTAATACTGTTTCGAACTATTAATAAAGAAATAGGAAATTTTTGTTCCAAATGAAATGTTTTAAACAATTTGGAATAGATGCATGCGACCTACATTCCCACATTAGTTTTTGTCAGTGTACTCAGCATATTGAATAATGCGTTTATGGCCAGATGAATGACACTTCGTACATGCGTCCCTGGAGCTGCAACTAGCAACTGGCAACTGGCAACTGGCCAGAAACTACTCGCATCGGAGGCCAGAAGGGTTAGGATGCTGGCACTGCCTCCTGGTGGTGCATATTTCATGCGTAAACTTTGGCTTGGGCATCCGCCACTATTCGTCATTTGTGCCGGGCCATGTCAGAGTTGTGTTTGAAAGAAATTCGTTTAAATTGTCAATTGTCTGGGGTTTCTGCTCCTGCTCCTGCTCCTGCTCCTGCTCCTCGGCCAGGAACTGGTTTGCAGCAACTCCTAATGAGGCGCATCAGCGGAAAAAAAAAAATGGGAGTAGGGAGCGGGGCCGAAGCGAGGCGGCCACGAACCCTTTTAGCATTCAGCCGTGATGGCTGGTGGCCCCCACAGTGGCTCTCGGTTCCAGGGCCTCGGTGCGTTTGCATTTAGCTGGCCAGGCACATTAAAGTCGAGTCAACTTACCCACATTCGAGCGGCATGTTTAGTGCCCTGCCAGTGGCTCTGTCTCTCATAGCCGAAGCTACTCACCTGGAACCCCAGCCCGTCCCAACCCATCCCAACCCATCACAGCCCATCCCGGACCCAAGACCATCGCACTCCCACCGGAGGGGCCATTTCCATTCTGATTTGGTTTAAGATTCGGATGCGGATCGGATCCTGCTCACTGGGTGTTGCAATGTCATTCCCTGCCTTTTATACACTCGCGCACTTTACAGCCCGGCCATAAATAAACTTGTATCTTTAAGATAGAAACAGTCGTAAAAAATCAGCAAATGACCCCGAATCCCTCGGTCTCCCTCAACCCCCCCCACGTCTAAGTCGCGTGAGAGCTTTCAGCCAAGTCCAGGCGAAGTGGTTGCTACGGATGCCCAGGGAATCATCAAACTGGGAAAGTATCCAGTCGGGCCATTTGGAGCATCTGCGGAACATGTGTAAGATTCCATATTAAATTTTATATTTAGTGCACGACTTTGTGCGCTTTATTTTCCCTTTTAGAATTTAGCATACAATGATTTCGTAGTGAAGATCCCTGTGCGATGATTTGGCGATGCCAGGGACGAGATCGTGATTGAGCAAACAATTGCGGTCATTAGGAAGCTGACTTTATGCGACTGCTGATACATTTATAGCGCATAACCCGTTTAAACAACCGAACAACAAGGCCTTACTTTCGACACGGCACCCCACCAATGTGGAATTTTGATCATAACTCGCTTCAATCATTTCCCTGCCCATATCGAAAGTCATTTCGTAATTAAAAATTACACAGTTTCCCCCCTCATTTCCCCCGCATTTTCAATTTAATTACATTATTCATAAGAATGTTATTATCACTCTGAACAAGCCTCCCAACTGCCAGTTGTGGCTGCTGGCCTTTCTTTGTGCATAAATCATAATTATGCTCGGCGTTTTACATCTCCCCCTTCGGGTATTATAAACACATATTTTCGAATGACGAAAACATCTTTATGAACCTGTAATTCCGAGCTACGTGGGCACATTTCAGTTTTTCTTCTAACGCTGCTGGAACAGTTTGACCTAATTTATTTCATTTC